CCCCCCCCCCCCCCCCCCCCCCCCAGTCTATCTTCGATGAAAAATCCTTTTCTTTTCTTTCCTATTTGGGAGCAGGTTATGTACGAGTTAATATTAATGGCACATGCTGCAATTTCTTCTCTTTTTTCTCCTCCAAAAAGTGAGCCATGGTGGATCCCTCCAATCACATCCGTAGAAAAACTCAAAAATATTTAAAACAAATAATATAATTTGTCCTATAATAAATTGCGATTTAACCACGGAGTAAAAAAAAATGAATCGACATATAATCAAGTCTAGAATCAGGTTTGACAAAAAATGTTTTATAAAATGTGCATATAATCTATAACAGAAGAATTGACAATTAGTCATAACTTTCGAAACAACAAAAATAGTAAAGACATAACTAACATAAAAGTAAGTAAAATGAGGTTTGGATCGGACATGGAGTCATGGGCAACACACCTTAGACAAGTATGATCAAAACATTCGATCTACAACCATAGGCAACACACCTTAGACAAACGTTACCATGACACTATTTAATTATGAAAGGTAAAATTAAGTTAGGGGTATGAACTATAAAATTTGCCTCTATTTAGCCAACTTTCAATTTATGTAGATCCGTACATTTTCAATATGGCACCTAAGAGTTCCCAAAATTTTAAATTTCATGTCGGATAGATTCTTAAAATTTTTAGAAGTTTATCGATCTATCCTATATAAAATTGAATTAAATGTTTTTTTAATTTATTATTTTAAAAGTTGAGGGCCAAATAGTAATTTACACATGGAATCTGATTGTGTTTTATCTCAATGTCTCACTCTTTTAATTCTTTGAATACATGGTGAAACTTGCATTTTTAGTTTTTCTCTTACATCTAACCATGACGGTATATGGTCACTGGTCACTGACTACATTCTACCAATCTCCAATATTAGGAGAAACAATTGTCATAAAAAATTTGAAATTTCCAAGTTACATTTAGAAGAAACGATTCTCTAATGTAATTTTGAAGGATGAAAGACTAGAGATATGGCGTCCAATATCTGGGCCACATTGCTTTTGAATCACCTTGATTTTTGGTTATATTCAGCAGCGAAAATAAGAGCTAGAAAATTTCCCCAAAAACAATAGTGGTTATTGCCATTATGATGGAAGCAGAAATTTGGATATTGATAGAAGATACCTGTCAGAAGGGGAGAGGCGACTTAGACTTCCACCGAACTGAGTTCTAACTGGAGTTTCAGTGGAAGCACTTTTCTTTTGCCAGCGAGCCTCCCCGATCCACTCCCAGACATGGAAACTATAAGTTTGTAGCAGTTGACTTCATCTCCTGGATAAAGGGCCGAGTAACCTATTGCCTAAAGGAAGCAGACAGATTCTGAAGCGTCAAAATAACAGTAAGAAAATCAAAAAATGAAAAGCGTCAAAATAACAGTATTTTTATTGCGTTTACAATCGTCTGGTAATGCATCTACCCAAGCATGCACTTACACACGTCTTCTGGACACAGATACGCCAGCCAAACTAAAATGTTGGTGTTTCTTAGTTATAGAGCAAATCTTTGATATAAGCAATAATAAATTCATGGTGGAAGAGATATTGAACTGCAACTCTATTCTTTTGGCATGGAGAAAAAAAATGGTCCTTGATTCATATCTTAATCTATTCAGGCAGGCACATAAGCAGCTGCAACGGCTTGTGCCAACAGCTTGTAGGGACGCCTCTTCTAATTATGTCAAGGACTATTTAGAGAAGGATTAGGAATCACGAATCTCCACCATGGTATGAGATCGTCCACTTTGAGTATAAGCTTTCATGGTTTTGGTTTTCCGAAAAGACCTCGTACTAATGAAAATAGTATTCCTTACTTATAAACCCATGAACTCCCAATGTAGAACTCGTTCTCTCAAGGATCCCTATCATGTTATTAGATTCATTCTCTCGCAAAACTACTCATCTATTTCCTACCTCACTCACTCTCACCGAACATCACTTGCATCACCCGTGCAGTCAAGTCTGGCACCCTCTTAGTTACAGAACAAATGCATGGCATCAATTTCAACCTTACTCCTAAATACTCCGTTTTTCACTCCTAGCATAGTTAGGCGAATTATGGGATTACTACCCCATCAGATTTCACAAATACATAGGTACTGTCATTATAAAGCTACATGATGGATATGTAGTATAAAGAACCATTACATGGATAAAAGGAGAAGTTCCTCATGTTACCGATGCATGCAAAACTAACCTGAGCATTTATCCAGTCAGATGGATATGCAAGGAGACTATATGTAGGACTGATCATGAATCTGGATTTTGTACGATTCACTGGTTAACCCCTCCAAAGCTTGATATTCATGCAGCTTTTTTGCATTATGGTTTCTGATACCATTTCTGAATAGAGTGCTTGCCGTAAACTTTCTTGTGCAGGATGAAGAAATCTTTCTGTTCCTTTCAGTTACTTTCTTTTTCAAATACTCAGATGTGAGAGCCTGGACTGATTTAATCAGACAATGTGCAGTGAATCAGATGAATGCAAGAACTAGAAGGCCCTAATCTTGTTTTCACAAGATTATCTGAATGCCAGACTATTAGTTATAAAAACGATGCATTAGAACCAATAGGCATTTGCACTTATTTTATTTTATTTTCTTTATATTCCCTTTGAATCATAAGGCATTTGAAGATAGTATTATGATGTATGAACTGGATGTTAGGTTACGTTGCAACAACAAAGGGGGTCAGAAAGCAAAAGGTTCAAGGACGTCAGAAATCTCATTTATGAGAGTCAATTTGTCAACGGATATAAGGCCTTCTATCAGAAAATGAAACAGTCAGTTCGCAATCAAAATCGAACTCTACGTATGCAGTCACTTTAAGTGATTGATTTAATCATGAAATCTTTTAACTCAACTAAGATCCCTACCAGAATGGGAACCAGCTGATTTCAGAGCATGATCTTTGAGTCTCTTTATCTTCTCAATAACTTCCGCACGTTTAGAGGAACCATGTGATGTGTAGTTTGCAGTATCACTCTGCTGAAGGCTTGACAGTGCTTGCTCATATGCCTATCAAAAAAAAAAATGTAAATAAGTTCACCGTATTGAATGAGACTCTAATTGAATATTCACCATCATTTCTTTGTATCATGAGAAAAACTAACTGAATACTAAAGATTAGAGCTGAAATACGACAATAAGACACAAGATATGGAAAAAAAATGTCAAAAACCAAAAGTTAATAGGTATACGGTGAAAAACAGAGTCGTGCATCTAGATTAGATTTGATCACATCCAACTTAACCTGATAGAATGGAAGAAGTGGAACTTTCAACAGGCAATGCCCTATTTCTATATTCTAAATGACCTGGGTTGTGGTATGCTTATCCAAAACAATGGATGTAAGGAAAAGCCTCAATCACAATTCAAAACAAACTTTCCGAAACCAGAAAATTGTAGACAAATGAGTGCTTTAAAAGAAATGATCCCATTTGCCATGAAACTTGCGGAAGCTAACCAATATTGAAAGACAATTAAAAAAATAGAAATAAAAATAAAAATCCAATCTGCAAAACAACAAAGAACCTAGGATTCTAAAACATTGCAAACAAACATGGAATTTGAGCAATAACCAATCTTTACAGATGGGAAAGATTCGGCTAGTTGATTGTTAAGAAATAAGATTTTGTATTAATACTGACTGCATCGCTTTTTGCTTCTGCATTGCTGGTGTTGTATTTGCAGGAGCCTCAAGTAGGTTATTTTGGACCATAAGCTATTCACATGGCTTCCACCTCTTAGAGACTTGCACATGTTAGGTTTTTACTTATTACTCCATTCTTTCTATTTTAAGAAACTCAGCCTCCCGCAGTGGCAACCATTGTTGCCTAGTTTAAACTTTTTGGCACAGTATGAGGGCAAGAGGTCCTGTGTTTGAATCATATAATGTCATTTTGTTCCCAAGTAATATTGACTTCCACTTGTTGAGCCTTCTACAAATTTTCAAGCCTACAAATGGGGGAGTGAAAACATTTTGATATAATTAAATTTTCCATAAGCTTAAACTGTTGAGTTCAATGGTGATTTAACAAAATATTCTCATTTCTATGCTCTTAGTGTGCATTGCACTCTTACTAGACCAAACCTCATTTTCCTATTAACCAAGTTCAGAGATTCCTTCGAAGCTCCTACTACAGATTGCTAGCAAGGGCCATTAAAAGAATTCCCTCTGTTTTAAGGTTTCTCTTACCTTATTGTCTTTGTAGCCCAATCTCTGTCTCTCTTTGCTTGCATCACTGTAGAATGAGCTAGTAGGGCAGATGGTAGGCAGCAATGGAACTTTTTTTGTTCTAACATTATCTCCCAGGGCTCGTCCAAATAGGAATGTTATCACATCATTGTATTGAGTCTAGGTAAGGAAATATTATGGGTTCATGAATGTTGTTGCACTAATGGGTAGAAGTTGTGCAACGTACAGTATGTTTTTCTCCTTTCTCGCCATTGATTTTACTTTGTGATAATAACAGTGTTTATTCTAAACTCGTTGAGGCCTACAATCATTTTGTTCGTGAGCATGTAATAAATAGGCATGTTCTTCATTTTTTTCACGAGCATATTCTTCAATTCAAATCATTTGAAGTCTAGAAAACATTCTGACAAAGCCTCTCTTTACCTATTGTTTTCTATACTTAATGACCAACCTCATAACAGGAGAACGTTATGCAATAGGATTTGTTGTAATGTCATGCATCATATTTTCTTCTGATATTGTATATTAGGCACC